AATTATAGGTAGTTAAAGTTATTAGTTAGCTGAGGATAAGAAATTAAGTTCTATTTGGTCTATAGAACGTATATATAATATACAGAATATAAGTAATTACCATATTGGTCCCCAGTTTCCTTACAAGACTTTAATAGAACATGCTTTTATACACGTTAACAAATTTATGTCTATAAATTAGCAAAACAAGAATCACAAATGAGTTTATTACACCTACTATTGGAAGTATAACAGGAAGAATTCCTGTGAATTTCAAATGAAGATTAGGAATTAGAAACTAAACAGGGAATAATTAATTTAATTATCAACTAGTAGGCTGCATTGCATTTGAGCGTGCGGTCCAAAATTGAGAATGCTCTAAAAATGTATAGAATACTTTCCACTTGTATTCTTATTTTCCTTTATTGTCGAAGACATGAAACAGAACTGAATTAGATGACGTTATCCTCATTTTCCAAAATTTAGTAGTTTATGATACGCGATTGACGCTTAGTTATGAAGAAAGTCATACAAAAAAAGTTTGGAATCAAATCTTACGAGTTCAACTATTTATAAAATTCTATACCAATGTATTAGGCTTAGGGCGCTTCGCTCGGATATCTGGTATAATATATGATTCCCTTGGTTTCAAGAAGTTTCAGTTTACAAGCTTAAGAATTGAATCTTAAACAGGTGAAACAAATATGATGCAAGTAGCATACCACATTTCTTACTTTGCAGAACAAATGGAAAGCATAAAAGGCTTTTGGATTCCTTTCGAATGTACAGCATTTACATGGTTCATGAGACCTAATAAAGAATAAACGAGTAGGACTAAATGAGCGGGTCAAAATATCTCGAGGACCTGCTACAAGAACATCCATTATATCAAGCAGTTGACAAATGCATTGATAGAGAAGTTAAAGATACTTACAACTACCATGAATTTTTCTCCTCGTGGAATGAACCAATGGTGGATTACAAAGCAATCATCCGGGAGTTATTTAGAGTTGATGAAAGTAGACTAGAATCATTCATCGAAAAGGGGAAACCTAGTTCAGAATATCTGGATCTTTATACATATACAAAACACGGTGATCAANAATTTAGTAAAAAACTCCTCCGTTTCTTGTTAGCACTTCCCATGTGTGAATATGAGATTGTTAATAATAACAATGCACTTAGTAAAAGTACTGGA